TCTCTCTCTCTCTCTCACACACACACACACACACACACACACACACACACACACACACACACACACACTCACACACACTCGATCTTTACTATAACTCTGAGATCCATCACCCAGAACAGGAGGCAAATTGGATTGTCAGGGTTCCATCCAACTCCCCCAACGAAAGAAGACTCCGAGACTTGAGTTTCCTCAAAGTTCCATTTTATTAGATATGTCATATTGGCACATCTGGAAAAACCTGAATCTGAAAGCTTTCAGGTTTTCCCCACCCAAATAAAAATTCAAGTCCCTGCCTAGCACCCACATGTCCGTCACGTGGTCCAATCAGGCACTGTCCCAACTGGAGATGCCTCCCAGTCACACCACTCAGATGCAGGGCAAGATGTCCTTGACTTTCTGAGAAAGGAATGTTATTTAGACTTACATATCTCCCATACTCCATGTAATCCCCCCTCCCATGTTCCTACAGCAGAAAATGTGGCAGACCTGAAGGCTCAATGCAAAAGATGGCTGCCAGGCCTGACATGAATATTCTCAGAATTTTAAATTCATCATTTGGAAATTGTTTGAGTTGTAGAATTTAAGGGGATTTTCTGTTCTTTCATGTAGAGATCTACTTCTAGCTTCCTCTTGCTCCCCCATCCACCGCCTCTCTCCTATCCATCCTTCCAAAACTGAAGGCATTTTGCGGTCAGGAATACTTGTACAATATATCACACAGAGATCTGTCTTCTCTACTGTGTGATGACTCTCCTCTTAAATCCTTGTCAAATTCTGATCTACATTGTTAAACTTGAATTTGCCGGAAGGATCAGAGTCTGATGAAGAGGCAGTTTGACATAAGTAATTAAGAGCATCCCCTTCATTAATGTTTTTTTCCCCACACTATGAATTAAACATTATGTAAGACAGTGCTCTAAGTAACGTATTGGTAATTTTAAATCATTAATGTTCAAGTGAAAAAAAATTAATATGCCAAAGAAATCAGGAATTTTATACAGCATTCTAAGCAATGGGACTTTGGTTTTTTTTCTCTGAAGTGTCCCCTTTCCCCTTACTTACTTGGGAGGTGAAAGCAGTTGAAATATCCGGTAAGCAATGGGACAGTCTCGCTACACAGTGATATTTGCTTGAGCCGCACATGGCTGACAAAAAGTATCAGAATTCTTTCTATTTCCTAGGAATTAAAAATTCATTATTTCTGTTCAAGGCAAGCTGGAGGGCTCTTTCCATTTTAATCTCTCAGTCCCTGTGCTGGTATTATCTGCATCTGATAGTAACACTAGAAGTCTCAATGGAGTGCAGCACTATACAGAATATGTGTGGTTGGGGGTTTCCATGAGGAACTAAGCAGATGAAAATGAAAGTTTCAATGCATAATTATCTATGTAATGGTAGTTACCCAGGAGCAGAAACAAGGAGTTATCTATCTATAACTAACCTATGGGTTTAAATAAATAAATGCACTAGAGTCAATGAGTTGTGAATAGTAAAGTTTGTAGAAATGTGTGTATTCAGGACACCATGTAATAGAAAGAGTTCCATTTTTTGATAACACATTGGGTATCATAAGGTTGAGAAGTAGCCTAAAAGAATAGAATAGCCCAGTTAGACTAGTTCAAAGTCTAGTTTTATTCTGATTTAGCATGATGCTCCCACAGTGACCATTTGATGCCACAAGCAGAATAAGATTACAGTAACATTTTCTGATTCTTTACAGCAATAGATATACTTACCAGAGGTGATATTCTTCTGGTTCACCCATGTTCAGGCAAACCGGTAGTGACAGTGGCGGGAGGTTCCATCCACTCACCCAGAGGTCATCACAGATGATCTGCGCACATGCAGAAGGTTCTGTGCATGTGCAGAAGTGCCACGTGTGCATGTTCCTGGTTCTGAACCACTAGCAAAGATGAGAGCATTTCATGCTTTATACTGATTGATTCTGTTGCTGCAGGGGATAAACATCAAGCCATCATAAGATAGATAACCTGATTACCCTATCCTTACTAATGTATCTAATTTCCTTTGAAAGCTATCACAAATCATTCTGGTAGATTTGTGGCATGTAAAACATTGCCTTTTATTTGTCCATAGATACTTATGACTGCCATGACTTCCAACAGAAATTCCAGGCTGCATTACTGTCATAAGTCAAGGACTATCTGTATCTGTTCTTTCCTGCCTTTGTTCCCTTCGGTTGGAGTTTGGAGCATGATATCTCTATGGTCAAGTTCTTTGTCAGATGAATTTCTCTATCCCCTTTTAAAGCCATTCATGTTAATGTTTTTCACTGTATTTACCTCCCAGTGAATCATGAAGTACATAAAGAAATGATATGGCTTGGCTTTATTTGTTCTGAATCTCCTTTCAGATTCATGGGATGACCTAATGTATGAAAGAGGGAGAATGTTTTGTCTGTCTTTCTTCATGAATTGCATGATTTTATACATATTTGTCATTTCCTAGCATAGTTGTCTAAACACTTACAAAAGTTTCATCTTTTCCTTGCAGTAGAGAAGGCACTTAAGCCTCTGTTTATTTTGATTTCCCAGAACTATTATATAGTTTTCAAATATGGTAGCCAAACATTGTAGACAATACCTTATATAGATGAACCATATCCTTGTATAATCATGTATATTTATAATGGTATCTTTATGGGATATTTATATTTGCTATGTATTTGTCTAAGTCCAGCTATCTCAAATAGACAAGCCATATTCGTCATATAGTAAGTTGCAGGTCCTAGGCTGTATCAACAAAGGGATAGTATCAAGATCATGTGTCGGTACCAATTTACACTGCACTGGTAAAACCATGCTTGGAATACAGTTTTGATCATCAGGTTACAAAAAGGATGTTGAGACTCTAGAAAAAGTGTAGAAAAGAGCAGGAAAGATGATTAGGAGACTGGAAGCTAAAGTATACCATGAACAGTTGTGGGAAGTGGGTATGTCTAGTCTAATGAAAAGAAGGAAAAGGGATGACATGATAGAAGTCTTCCAATATTTGAGGGGCTGTCACAGAGAAGAGGAAGTTGACCTATTTTCCGAAGCACCTGAGGGCATAACAAGAAGTAACAGACAAAAAGAAGTAAGATTATCAAAGAGAGATCCAACCTAGATTAAAATAAATTTCCTGTCAGTGAAAACAATTAATCAATGGAATGAGTTGTCTCCAGAAGTTGGAGGTTTTTAAGGAGAGATTGGACAACGCTTTGTCTGGAATTGTATAGAGCAGTGATGGCTAACCTTTTTGCCTTTGCATGCCGATAGCGTGCGAGTGTGCCCACACCCATAATGCAGTGCATGCGCAACGCACATCCCCTGAGCTCTACCCCCCTGTGCATGTGCATGCGACCCCCCCAGTGGCCCAGCAGGCCTCCCTGAAGTCTCCTGGGACCAAAAACGGGATATAGGGGAGATGTGCCGCATTCCCCCACAACCCATTTTGGGCCTAGCAGGCCTCCCTGAAGCCTCCTGGGACCAAAAATGCCCCCTGTGCATGCATGCGTGTCTCCTGCATGTGTGGCAGAGACCCAAAAATCATATGGCCTGCAGGAGGCATGCATGCATGCACAGTGCAGCTGAGCTGGGCGACGGCCCGCATGCCCACAGAGAGGGCTCCGCATATCACCTCTGACACGTGTGCCATAGATTTGCATCAGGGATATAGAGTCCCTTCCAAATTGAGCCAAGGTGGCGCAGTGGTTAAATGCAGCACTGCAGGCTACTGCTAGATCAGCAGGTCAGCGGTTCAAATCTCACCGGCTCAGGGTTGA